AGCAGGGGGAGTGGGAGAGGGAGAAGCAGGCTTCCCGCTGAGCAGGGAGCCGATGCGGAACTCGATCCCAGGACCCTGAGATCATGACCTGAGCCAAAGGCAGACACTCAACGACTGAGCCACTCAGGCTCCCCTTCAGTTTTCTTTTATTACAAATAAGATTATGATGAACATCTTTTTGTTTAAAGCATTTTAGTTTTTGCATTCTGGGTAAAGCTGAATTCTCTGGAGTGGTGTTTGTGGGTCAAAGGGTATAAACGTTATTAAGGCTATTGATAAGAGATTGCCAAATTGCCTCCTAAAAGGGCCGTGTACCAGTAATACTTTCCTTGATAACGTATAAGTGGCTGTTTCGCTGTACCTTTATCAACATTAGAATCTGTATGAATTTGATACATAAAAACAATATTGTTTTAATATGCCTATTTAAAGTGAAGTTGAACATTGTAGAAAAGTGTTAACTTTCCATATTTTCCCCCTTTGGGGGGGTGGGGGATTTGTTGACTATTTACTTTGCTCATGTTTCTTATTAGGGATGTTTTTTTTTTTTAAAGATTTCATTTATTTATTTGACAGAGAGAGACAGCGAGAGCAGGAACACAAGCAGGGGGAGTGGGAGAGGGAGAAGCAGGCCTCCCGCCAAGCAGGGAGCCAAATGTGGGGCTCGATCCCAGGACCCTGGGATCACGACCCGAGCCGAAGGCAGACACTTAACGACTAAGCCACCCAGGCGCCCCGGGATGCTATTTTTTCTTATCAGTTTGTATAAACATATACATTAAGCATAGTAATGGTTTTGTGTCTTTGGCTACAAATGTAATTTCCCATATGATTTGGCTTTAATGTAATCACTTTTTCAAAAATCACACAAAATACTCATTTTTAGGAAGTAAATTTCATCTGTATTCTACTTTGTACTATCCTCCATGGCTTTTTATGCTTTCAAAACCCTCTCCCAATCAGAGATGAAAAAATATTTTTTGTTAGGTTTATAATGTTTAAAAAGTCTTTCCTCTCAACCTATTAACTGCTTATTTAGAAATACTCTCCCAAACATATTTGTTATTGTGATGTGGGTAATGTTGAATATTCCAATGATCTAGAATTGTACCACCCAGTAGAAGTTTTTGTGATGATAGGAAAGTTCTATATGTTGTGCTGTCCTATTATGGTAGCCACTAACCACATGTGGTAGTTGAGCATTTGGTATGTGGCTAGTGCAACTGAAGAGTGAATTTTTAATTTAACTTTTTTTTTTAAAGATTTTATTCATTTATTTGAGAGAGAGAGAGAGAACATGCAAACAGACCAAGGGGAGGAGTAGAGGGAGAAGCAGACTCCCCACCGAGCAGGGAGCCCGATGTGGGACTTGATCCCAGGACTCTGGGATCATGACCTGAGCTGAAGGCAGGTGCTTAACTGACTGAGCCACCGAGGCACCCTGATTTAACTTTTAAAAAAAAATTTTTTTTAAAGATTTTATTTGACAGAGAGAGACAGAGCGAGAGAGGGAACACAAGCAGAGGGAGTGGGAGAGGGAGAAGCAGGCTTCCCGCTGAGCAGGGAGCCCAGTGCGGGGCTTGATCCCAGGACCCTGGGATCATGACCTGAGCCAAAGGCAGACGCCTCACCGACTGAGCCACCCAGGTGCCCCAACTTTTAATGTAAATAAAATTTAAGTTAATTATGAATTAAACCAAAATTTACTTTAAAAATTAATTTAAATTAAAAACAAATTTAAATAGATCTGAAGAGGGGCACGTAGGTGGCTCAGTTGGTTAAGCGTCTGAATCTTGATTTTGGCTTAGGTCATGGTCTCAGGGTTTTGAGATTGCGTCCTGCGTAGTGTTTCTCACTCAGTGCAGCATGTACTTGTCCCTCTCCCTCTGCTCCTCCCCTGCCCTCCCCCCAACTCTCTCTCAAATAAAATCTTTTAAAAAAAAGATCTGAAGACTTAAGGTCTTTAATTTTGTATTTTGATATCCTACGTTTGCAACATTGAATGGAGTAGTCTAATTCTGGTCCATTGATGTATGCTTTCCTCTGAGGAAAGATACTCAAGGGAATAGTATCTGTAATACCTAATCAACTGCTGACCTGTATGCAATTATAGCCCTCTTTTCCTGGTGATAAAAGGAATTAGCACGGGCGCCTGGGTGGCTCAGTTGGTTAAGCAACTGCCTTCGGCTCAGGTCATGATCCTGGAGTCCCTGGATCAAGTCCCGCATCGCTTCTCCCTCTGACCCTCCCCCCTCTCATGTGCTCTCTGTCTCTCTCATTCTCTCTGTCTCAAATAAATAAATAAAATCTTAAAAAAAAAAAAAAAAGGAATTAGCACAAGCATTGTGTGTGTGTGTGTGTGTGTGTGTGTAGGGGCAATTTATGCATCAAAAGTTGAAGTTTCTTTCTTTTACATGTGTACAAATTCATCTCCAGCATCTTTAGTGGCCTTAGCAAAGCTGCCTTGCTAAAGAAAAGGCTATCTGTGGTGAGTTGCATCATACTTTTAGGCTTATCCCTGTTTTTCTCTGTTACAGACGCTGCATTCAGGTAGTACATAAACTACTTTGCTACCAGAAGAAGTGTAGAGTACGCCTGCATTACACCTGGCGGGAACTCTGGTCAGGTAACTTTCTCTTTTGAATTCATCTTCTTTTCCTAGATCTTTTATGAGCCCCTAAGCCTAGGCACAGATGAATTTTTTTAAAAGTTTTTAGTGTGTTTAGGATGCTTCTATTTTCATTTACACTTTTTGTCATTTCAGCCTTGTTCTTATCCAGACGTAGGCATGGCACATATCTATTCCATACTTCTCAAATTTCTTCTCCCTGTATGTTTTTGTCAGCTGGTAGAAAACAATTGAATGTATCTTGAGCTCTAATGATTCTTGCTTTGAATAAGAGTGAGGTAGGAGGAATCAGTACAAACTTGGATTCTCCCTCAGTTCCATGTGGTAGCAGCATATGGACTATAGGGAGGCTTCTGTGTGTTTCCTCAAGATGAGTAATCTCTGGAGGAATGTCATAGGGAGAGGGGGTGGGGAGGGGGTGGAGAGATGGGGGGGAATCCTGTTCTTTGTGTTACATCTGGCATTATTGCTGTTTACAGACAGTGTCACTTGTACCACTCCCCCTGTGCCAGAGACAAAACCAGCAAATTACAGTGTTTACTTTTGTCTTTGTGTCCATTCGGTAGCCCAGTAAAGTCACAGCTACCCCTGCAGGTGGGAAGTGGTTCTTCTTTAAGGGTACAATTAATGCTGGCTTGCCACTGCTTTCTTTGTGTAACTAAATTGGAGGTTTCAGGAAAGCCAGGAGACATGCTCCCTGAGGCATTTGCTTGCTGATAGGTCCTGTGGCTTTGGTGACCTGATGGTACAATAAAGTCTTCTTCAGATGATTATAGTGTGAATGGTTGCCCCACCCGTGGAAGAGCTTCTCAGCACAGGAGGGTGTGTTAGTGTCAGAGGCTTCGTAGGAAACAGGCCACTAACCCCACCCCCTTCCATGGAATTCATCTCACTTGTTGTGACACATGGTTTCCTCCCAACCCAATTTGGCTTTCTAAATTTAGTCCTCTATAATGGGAAGTAGAGATCTTTAATTAATGGATTAGCAAGTTCTTTGCAGTTACTGCCTATGGTGGTGAAGGGTGGAACAGTAGAGTAACACTAAGTGGTAATAGTGGCACTTTGGTATTTTAGGAGAAGAGTGTGATTGTGTGAGAGTTTGAGACTGAGGGGATGTCAGAAGATCTACAGAGGTCAGAAGAGATTGAAATGACTAAAGTTAGTAGAATTTCCTAGGTAGGACCAATTCTTATTAATATACAGGACTATTGTGGTTGTCCATGAATAGTTATATGATTGTTAGGTTCTAAAAATTTAGGATTAAAGAGAAAACACAAAAATGATACAAATCTGTGGATGGGGGTGCCTGGGTGGCTCAGTTGTTAAGCATCTGCCTTCGGCTCAGGTCATGATCCCAGAGTCCTGGGATCGAGCCCCATATTAGGCTCCCTGCTCTGTGGGGAGCCTGCATCTCCCTCTCCCACTCCCCCTGCTTGTGTTCCCTCTCTCACTGTGTCAAATGTGTCACTCTGTCAAATGAATAAATCTTAAAAAAAAAAAACCAAATCTGTGGATGTTCGTTAATAGTTGTAGGACTTGATAACAAGTACAAATGGTTTATGTCTATAACTGGGATGAATTTACCCATTGTAGTACTAACGAGTTGGTGGTAATAGTTGTTTCTGCCTGCTTTTGATTCTCTTCTGGTTTGATTTTTTCCTGTATTCTATTTTCTTTCCTTTCTATCCTAGCCATCCTGTCTCTGGTCCCTAGGATCTGTCTGGCTCTTCTCCCATCCTCATCACCTGTGGTCATCTTCCTCGTTGTTCTGTTGCATTGCCTTTTACCATTTACCCTGGTCTGTCTCCCTGGGGCCCAGGGCTTTCCATTACTCTCCTTCCTCCACTTTGTATCCTGTCCTTTGTGCTACTGTTGTCATATATCCTACTGGTACATATGTTAAAATTCCAAAATACATTGCCATCATTTTTGTTTAAAGAGTCAGTTATCTTTTAAAGAGGTTAAGAATGTCTTCTGTATTTATTTTTTCTTGATCTTAGCACTTCCCCATTCTGGCTAGGAAATTGTGAGGCAGGAGACCATTTTTATCCTATGTTGGTCAGTTGACTTTATGTCTTTGAGTACTTTCTGTCATGTGCAGCTCTGTTCGTAATTATGTGCTATTTCAGGACTGATTGACTGGCATCCTAAGCCTTGATAGGTAGAGAGGAGATGTATATGAGGATTCTTTGTGATGCTGGGATGACTTCTTGTTCCTGAGGCATAGGCATTTGTACTAGAGTTCTCTGCCAAGTGAGGTTAGGTCCTTTTCCTATATAGACTGGGTGAGTCTCCTGGAACCCTGGCTCCCTGTATTCATACACAGTGAGATGCCGAGCAGCAGGTGTTAAGGAAAGTTGCAAAATACTATACTACATCTGATGCATCAGAGCCCATAATAACATATAATATTGCAATCAGTGAATATAAATGTGGTTATGGTGGATCCACCCACCCCTTGGCTGGCAGTATCCCTCATATGTTGGGATGCCCATGTTTTTACTCTTTGCCTTCTAGACTTAAGGATTTGCTGGAGGTGTATGAACCTCACCATGGTAAATATGCTTATGTGTATAGATGCCCATACTATGCTGAGAACTTTAATTGAATTTTATTTATAAATAAAACTGGGAAGGCGTGTGTTGTTAGATTGGACACACAGAAGCCGTTGGGTGTCTAGGAAGCAGTTGGCTAGGACCCAAATGCCTTTTGTTGTTTGGAATGTGGGTGTGTAGTATCACTGCACTTCGAATGGTGATTTTTATTCCTGTGCTGTTTGACTGCAGTCACTCTTTGTTATTGGGGAGGTAACCAGAGGTCCCCCTACAAATTCCCATATGGAAATTCAGGTGTGCTCTTGTGGACGAGGATGAGGCAGCTGTATTAGTTGGGGGTTTAATCCTGCCTGCTCTGTTGGTTTTACAGATACAAGCCCTGACCTTCTCCCTGCTGCCATTGTCTGTTTATATGGTGCCTGTCACCATAGTATCTGAGTATTTGGGGAAATATATTTAGGCTAACTTCAACTAAAATAGGGAAAGGAAGAAGGCCTGCCTCTCTCATTGCCCTCTTTTTAGCAATCACTATTTTTCACCAAGTTATGGAAAATTCAAAAGCTCTTCTCTGACCTCTAGGCTACCCAGATCTCCTGTTTTGGGTAAAAGATTAGGTCTTAAAACTATCCTCTATAGAGATAGAAAACTGGGTTTTAGGATAAGATCCTAGGAAATAGGTCTTTACCTTTGAGAATATAATGAAAGATACAATCTTTGTGTTCAGAAAAATGTCCATTTGCATATACATATTTTGCATATAATTTCAGAGAGTTCATGGACCCTCTGAAGCCATCCATGATCCTGTGTTAAGAATCCCTGTCTTGGGGCGCCTGGGTGGCTCAGTCGTTGAGTGTCTGCCTTCGGCTCAGGTCATGATCCCAGGGTCCTGGGATCGAGCCCCGCATTGGGCTCCCTGCTTGGCAGGGAGCCTGCTTCTCTCTCTCCCACTCCCCCTGCATGTGTTCCCTCTCTCGCTGTCTCTCTGTCAAATATATAAAATAAAATCTTAAAAAAAAAAAAAAAAAGAATCCCTGTCTTAATTTTAGGTTCCATGGCCTCCCAATTATTTCTGTTTTCACAGAACATCTTACTATCTGTGTTAATATTTTTTCTTTATTTACTGATCATACTGTATTTCTCCTGGGAATTTTAGCTTCACAATCTTCTCTCTGAACTTCTTTGGGATAAGGAACACCTTGGTCACTATATTTTATTTCCTGTGTCTTCCTATGGCACTTGGGGTTTCTATTTTAGCATATTGCACTGTTTTGCTATGTGTGCATAAGTCTGCATAACGATTTATTTAAATATCCTTCTTTCCTCTTAAAAAAGTTTTTGTAGGGCAGGGTCTTTGTTTTTATCATTGCTCTGTCTTCAGCACATACTTGGCTTATTAACAGGGGCTCGGAAAACATTTGAATGAATAAATGGATAGCTGGACATGTAGAATTTCTATTATTGATGAATTAACATTCTCTCAAAGCAGTACAGTGCTGTGTTTGGGCCTCAAAACAATAACAACAATGAGAACAACAACAATGATGATAGAACCCAGGAGGATGTTTGTTGTCATGTTTCTGTTGAGCTGACTTTATCACTTTTTTATTTGAATTTTTTTTTTTTTTAAGATTTTATTTATTTATTTGAGAGATTATGACCCCAGCTGCAGGCAGACGCTTAATCGGCTGAGCCCCTCAGGCGCCCCTATTTGAACTATTGATGTGAAAGGGAGTGATTTCTCTTTCCTTTGTCTGTTTCATCCTTACCTACAGATACATGAATTGCTTTTAACTAAGTAAAAATGGAAACTTTGATGGTTTCCAAGCCATTAACCAAAGAATGAGCAGAATGTTTAGAGAGAAGCATGTAGTTGTTAGAGAGGAAAAGACCTGAACAGAGCTTCATGGAGTCAGCTTATTTTACTTACACTGCAGGCAGAAGGGGCACTGGGGAGGCAGCCTGCATTTAAATAGTGTAGCTTTCCACAGTCTGAAAACATGGGTCGATTTAAAGGCAGATTTATACTGACATTTTATATTCGACATTTATCTATGGATCACCGTCCTTCTTACCCTTTCACTTTGCCACATCCCTGGGTGATAAGTCATTATTTTTATCACCATTTGTTGGGGAAGGGAGTGGAGGTATAGGAGGGTAAGTGCCTTGCTAAGGATCATGGAACCAGATACTGAACAGAGTCATGATTAGAACTTAGAGTTCCTGACTCCTATGCTCAGACGCAGATCACTAGGCAACATTTGCCTCCCTGTAGGAAGAAAGGCCCCCAAAGCCCCCAAAACAATCTGTTCAGCTTCACTGTGCTAAATAGCATCCAAAGCATTCACAGCTTTGTGAAAAAGAGAGAAATCGTACATGGCCTGACCTTTTAGATACCTACTGGGACAAATGGAAAACCCAGAGAGTCTCACAGCTTTGTGGATC